GAACCCATTTTTTTGCAGACCTGTGTTATCGGACGGCGTATAAATTTCTGACCTTTTGTTAATAAGAGTTCTTGCGAACATTAAGCTTTCAACTGATTCGACATTAAGCCTGTTCCTGTATTTATTTTTAATGAGATTCATCTCCGAAAATTTTCTTTCGGCAGCAGCACTACTGTGTGGTAAAATAGCTAATGTCAGCTTATACTCTGCCAAATTGCTAAACATACACACATACACAAAACATTTTTCTGGTCCTTAATCAATCCCTTGCTTTGGAAAATAAAAAAGTGATTCCGCAAAAAAAGGGTTAAAGAGTAAAAGAGATAACTTCTGCCACACCTTTCTATACAAAATCTTGGTGCCACAAAAGTGATTGGACAAAAATTTTAAAAGTTAATTTTTTTGTATTTAATATATTCCTAATGTGAATGGAAAAAAGTAAAATAAATCGGAGCATATTTCGGGCCAAGTGGAGTAGGGAGTAGATTTTAAATTTAAAAAAGAAATCGGAGTAAATCTACCCGATCGGAGCAAAGTCCGGACGATGTTTACAATTAAGAAAGCGTGCTAAATTTAAAAAAATGCGCATATGAAAGAGCACCAACCCAACTCGTAATTCATTTAAGTATAACAAATTTAGTATAGAAATATTCAATTCAAATACGCCCATATTAAAATGAAGCGCTTTGCACTTACCGATTGTTTTTCCCTAATTAAGTTAAGAAAATATTTAAATTCCATGCTGCCTGTAATGGGATTTGACCCTGACCCTCTGGAAAATAGAAAATTGTGGCAAACATCTTCACACACAGACATGTATGTAAATATGCATTCAAATGTTGAGTTTGAATTAACACCACGCGTGCGGGGTATGAAAATATTATTTTAAAATACGAATATTTTAAAACGATAATCAAATAAAAAATATTCATTTTTACCGTGCGTTATTTCCCTCAGTGAATTCATAAAATTTTCCGAATATCACAACGCGTTTATTCTCTTAGTGTAGTGATTTTTTTGTACAATCAAATCGAAAACCGGGACACTTAAACGAAACCCGGGACATTTTAAGGTTGGACCGGGACACCGGGACAAATAGTCTAAAACCGGGACATGTCCGGGAAAACCGGGACGTCTGGCAGCCCTATCGTGTGTAGCCAGTTTAAGCATTACATGCGTATACATGCGAGAGCGTAACAAAGTGTACGCAAGGTTTTTGAGCGTAATTTTTGCGTGACGTCATCTTGGTGCAATTGCGAGAGAGAAATGCCAAAACGCATATAAAAATATGTAAACAATGCAGAAAATTTTGTTAATTTTAATATTACATGGCCCAATTTTCCAGAAAACAATAAATATGCAAAGATTCATTAATTAGGAACACGTAGCAATAATTTTGGACATGTAGCGCTTTAGGTAAGTACGATTTTTAGCACATGAAAAAATGGATGTATTAACAGTGTTTGCAATTTCATGTAGACCAAAAGGAAGGTGTGCAGCAAAGTGAATTTTTGGACTCGTCATTGTAAAAAGCCATGCAGAGTGCATATTTATATTTGTGGACGGTAGCCAACCACCATAAACTCCACAGCTGTTGACTCCACAGCTTTTATTTGATGCCTTTTGTACCATTTCCGAGAGGATGCGTGAGTGTGGCTTCTTTGGAAACAAATATTCTATGTAAGTAAAACATAATTTAAGCTGAACTTTTAAATGTATAATAATTTGGGCACTGTTTTGTCTTAGGTACGTAACAGCGCGATAAGATCCCGCTTGAATTAGCGCCTGGCGACCTTATCCACTGGTGCATTACCTCATACCAGCACTAAAAAGAATCAGGTACTAACAAAAATAAGTAGGTAGTGAAGTTCATGTATCTATTTACTGTAGAAACTGCTTTTGTATGTATGCCATTGCCAGCAAACTAAACCAGCAACTGTCTACATTCACCATGGAAATATACATACTACAATTCACCAAGAAAAGGCCAACATAGTTCCATGTAGAAGCTCATAGCTCACACACATAGCACAAAGCTCGATTTGGTGTTTAATGCATCTCCTCGCCGGCAGAACTGCTTCCACTTTTTCGCCATGGTTTGCGTCCGTAGGAAACGAAAACAACTTATATCGCACGCTTTCCTTTTGTTTTCACTATTACACTTTGCCACGGCACACTTCATTTTGCTTGGTAATGTCTCAATGATTGTTTAAAACCACGCACAAATATTAACGCACAAATATTAAAATTGTTATTTGGTTTTTTCGTATGCTCACAATCAACAATTGCACCAAGATGACGTCACGCACACAGCTGATTCTGTCAAAATCACAAAGAACGGATTAGCGGTACCGCGATTGGCGCGATCTCTATTTCTCTCAATCGTGATTAAAACGTAATTGGCACACTAACACAATCACACTTTCAGCTCGCGTTTACTTGTGGTAGTGATCACGTCTGCTCATATACACTCCTTGCAATCCATAGTATTTACAGTTTTCCTTTTTTTATTTAATATAAATTTTTTGTAAAAATATAGCATATTCTACGGGTAAATGCAATTTTAAAATTTTTTACAAATTAAAACTTAAAAGAAAATTTCTTTTCCATTTCCTGGGCAGCATTTTATATGATTTTTCGTTTTCTTGAGAGCTGGAAACAGTTCTTAAAAAAGGTCAACATAGGAGTGTGCTATCCTAATGACCTACAGTGAATAAGTTAGTAATATTTTTAGAAAAATTTCTGATATGCAGTGTTGTAGCCCATTCAATTATAGTGTAATAAAGTGCAAGTTTCAAGTGTCTCTAAAATAGCCTCGAATTTTTGAATTTGTTTTTATTGACGGTGCTGCGCATTTTATTCCATATACAAATTTTTGTCGAGCATACTTTGCATGAGAGAAAATGCGTAGCACCATCACCAAAAACATTTTCAAAAATCACCGCTATTTTAGACACTTGAAACTTGAACTTTATTGTACCCCTTTGTTGACATTTTTTTAACTCTGTATAAAGTTTTAAAATCGGATGTAATGAATATTAAATAAACAAAATAAAAATGTAAATACCAAGGATTAAAAAGTTGAGCTATTCAAATCACGAGGAGTGTATGTGGCGTACGTTTGGGAGAGTGGGCCTTTTTACTCCAGAATGCGTGTGCAGTGGGCAAAAAAGCCCATGCGGGCAAAATTGCCCATGTCTGGATTAAAATATAGTTTTTATAAAAAAAACACCGCTGGCGAAGTAGATTAAAAGATAGTGTTTAAAAAGGGGCTGTAAGTGAAAATTTGGAACAAAAAATGGAGAAATTTTTGTTCACAATGTACACATTAAAATATTGTTTTTTATTAAAATATTGTTTTATATTAAAAAATGGGGAATTTTAATATCCAAATTTTCCGATTTTTAAGCTTAGTTTCCAGCTGAAGAAAAATTATATTGCAAAAACCGCGATTGTTTGACACTTTCCTTATGTGATCTATAACATCCTTCGCTCCTCTATTTACTTATAGTTTTTCAAAATAATTCAATGAATATCATCATTCATGTGCAGTAGACTGCGCCTTATTTTGCAACTTTGTCCTACAAAGCAATACTTCCCCAGAAAGGTTCATTTGTTCATAAAAACTTGACCTGCGAAAAATTTAAAAAATCGGATAACGGAAACACCTTAAAGTTCAGCAAATTCATGGAATTTTTCACAAAGCGGTCAATATTTTGCCTATAAGTCAGTGGGAAATTTAATATATTTTAATGACACTTAATGTAGTTTTGTTCCCCGATGTCAAATATGGCTAACCTATTTTTAAACCTCCCCATCTTTTAAAGTTATTGAGTTTTTTATTATTAAACATGGCGTCTCAGATATAGCATCTAAACTAACCGTAAATTAGATTTTGATTTACAAATTTTGTGCCATCGGAGAACACTAAAAGAGAAAAGTTACCTACAACTTTGGCAATTGAATGTGCTACGCATTTTTATCAGAAATTGTTGAAAAATGGCGAAAACCGTGATAATGCAAAAATTTTTCGCACTTTCAGCAATTATTTACAAAAATGTTGATAATTAAATTCTCTACAAATTTGTGAGCAACCGTTTTTCACGAAAAATGCAAAATAAGCTTGAAAATCGCAAAAACGCAAAAAACCTAACATCCAAGATGGCGGAATGTTCCGGTATGAAATTTAGGGGTGAGACTGTGGATCCATGATCTACGTATCTAATAAAAGTAAACTGCATCAAGAGTTCGCTACTACAAATTTTTTTCTTCGTACCAATTTGATCTAAATTTATTTGGCTAAAATTTAACTTCTGAATTCCTAGAAAATTTTAATTTTACGTGGAAAAAACTAAATAGCTTTAAAAGTTGGGGAGGTTTAAAAATAGGTTAGCCATATTTGACTTCGGGCGGCAAAACTACATCAAGTGTCATTAAAATATATTAAATTTCTCACTGACTTATAGGCAATATTGACCACTTTGTGAAAATTTGCATAGAAACGCACGTTTTTATGAACAAAGGAACATTTCTAGGGGGAGTATTGCTTTGTTGTTTAACAAAAAAAATTCTCCATACACCTAAGGCGCAGTCTAATGTGCAGGCATGGGCAGAGAACGATCACACAGTGGGCTAGCTTTTTTCAATATTCATCCCAATCTGGATGTTAATTTTGACTCACCATTAAACGAATTTTAATCTATACCTCGGTGAATTCCATGTGACTTTTCTTTGAGTTTTGCTAAATTATATCCACAATTGAATACAATATGCTGAATACTCTAAATAAGACAATGATATTTTTGGTTGTTACGAATGGCTTTAATATCCCTTGCTAAAATATCTGGACAAACTGATTCATTATGGGAACAAATAGGGTTACTATTCATTCTCACATCTTCAATAGCATTTGCAATTAAATATTTATAATTGTGATTTGTGGTGAGCTTTAAATAATATACATACATATATTTTAATTAAATGTTTTTAACGTCACTTACTTTGGTGATGGTGTTTAGGCTTTTCGTTGTCATCGTATATTTCATCTAGAGATATATCCCTTTCCTCTGTATTTGTAGAAAGAAATGCAAAATATTTGTAATTATTTAAAATTTAATATGTACTGTTAAAAATAGATCGAGGACTTAAGGCAATGTCAGATAAAACCTCTTCTTCACATTACGTAACAAACTCGCTTTGACAGCTAATATGAAATATACGAATATGGGCAAATCTAAAAAATAGGTACACTTTCCAAAAAAAAAAAATTTATTTTTAAATTTGTGAGCACACCTATCTTTTATATATCATTTTATTTGTAATCTCTTAATAAATCAATTAATATAAGTGTAATTTATTTTCATCAAGTGCTTCAAAAGTTAGAATAAACATGAAATAGAAAACAAAAGAATAAGCTGGGTTTACATTACGCTGTTCAGGTTGTATATTTTGAGGAAAGATTTTGAAAGTTGAGCCCTCTTAATTGATATATTCTAAATTCAATGGCATACCCCGTTTTACCAGATTGGCTCCGGTTTTCGAGATAACGGTAATTGAAAATTTGATTAAATTTTAACTATTTTATAAATAACTCCCTCAGCTTTGAAGTTATTTTACTAATTTGTTTTTGTATTTTTTTGGCCTTATAACAATTATATTCAACAATTCTTATTGAGCTCGAGGAAGAAGTCTGATGACGAAATGTGGTGATATCCGAAATAGCTATCACTTCTACCATTTTTTCAAATTATTGTTGCTTTTCCACAATAAATTTTCATTAAAAAACGGCCTCGAGCTCAATAAAAATTCTTGAATGTTATTTTACTAAAATTTTGCACATAACGGTTTTTTAATATTACCTTAATTATTCATTAAAATTATCGAAATAGGTTCACTTTAACATATAGCTCCAATACAACTGATTACTCAGATATGTGTTTTTGGGAGTTGTATGGGAGCTAGATGTTAGAGTGAACTGATTTCGATGATTTTAAGAAATAGTGAAGGAAATATTAAAATACAAGCGTGCGCAAAATTTTAGTAAAATATCTTCAAAACTGAGGGAGTTTTTTTTTATATAATAGTTAAAATGTAAGCAAAGTTTTAAGTACCGTTATCTCCAAAAGTGGAACTAATCGGGCAAAACTGGGGATGCCATTGAATTTGGAAGGCTCCTATTAAGTAAGAGCAACTATCAGAACCTTTGTCGAAAAAAGTTTGATTTGATACCACGCTCGAAATATTCTGACTACAAGAAGGGGCATAATTAAAAGTACTAAATCGGGGTTTTTACACACTTCTAGAAAACATTTTTTTGAAGCATTTTACAGGTATATGCAACGTTATAAGGACTAGTAGTTATAGGAATATTTAGATCGCTTCGACGAATTTTCCAAATGTGCCTTCAATTAAGATGTTTTTGGAATAAAAATTACGCTCAAGATCGCAGAATGTTTTATCTTTAAAAGTTGGTTTATTCTGAAAGCACACCTCTTGCAAAGGTATCAAATTATTGGTAATTGTTTGTAGAATACAATACATTCTTAAAAAGTTCTTAAAATTAAATGCTTCAAAAACTATACGCGATAAACCGGAAATTTTGAAAATTGTGAAATGTGGAGTTACAGACTTTGAGTTACTTGCCATTTCGTTATTTTTGAATGCACACTTTTCTTACTTACTACAAATAAAGTGTACACATAAGTGCTAAATGCCCATTCAATTTAAAATCAGAATATGGTGTGCTTCAAAAGTTATGACATGATTGATTGTTCCCCTCTTAAAAATTACATAAAAAATTCACTTGATTTAAGTTTTTTTTTTAATTTAAACACCTGTTACCTATTTTTTAGATTTGCCCATATGCACCAAGACAGGCCTATCACAGATTCCGAGTGAACTCCCGTCGTGAATAAATCTCCCGTCACGAATTCGGGAGAAATGCTATCAGCAATTCCGACGCATTCATAGTTAGTGTTGCCTTTGGTTTTTGTTTTTTTTTTTATGTATTGGTTTACTAATTCTAAATCAAAATAAAATAAATCACAATAAAATAACAACGTATGTAAAGCGAAATAAGGCAAGCTCCCATCCACGAATAAACAAACAATGTGGAAGTGTTGGAAACACATTTTACTATTTTCTGGCAAAATTAAAAATGTCACCCAAAATCACAAAGTTCTATCTAACACGGTCCTTAAAGTCACTACCCTCTGTCCACTCTCACATCAGTTTTAACTTTGAAACGTACTAATAAGTTTTACTTAGGGCCAATTTCACTATGCGTAGTTAACTCAGAATCGGGAGTTAACTACAGAATTTTGTACTGAAAATCTCTAGTTAACTGTCGATTCTGAGTTAACTACGCACTGTGAAATTGGCCCTTAGAGACACATTTCATGCATTTGGTCAATTTATCAATTCACCTATTTTGAAATTGCAGTCTAAGATTAACTACAAAGTACACGTCATTTGTAATTCTTGTTCTAGTACTAACACTTGGTATAATATAAATTTGTACATTATTACCTTCATATACATTAATATAATTGATGACACTTAAGTCTCAGTTAAAATTAGGGTTGCCAGACGTACCCAATTGGGGGACATACGCCATTTTAACTTTTTGTACCCCTTGCTACGGAAGGTTGCGTAGGTCCCCCATTTTTGCCCGAAATCGTTCACTTTTCGCTTAAAGCGTGTTTATATTGTTTAACTTTCACAGGCGATTAGTTGAATCAAAGTTGAACGGAAAGTATCAGGCCGGTTCTGAACAGAAAGTCCCTGGGAGTTTTCTCTCTTTTCCCTTTCCTCCTATCATGAATAAACATTCTTTGAGGATTTTTTATTTTAAATGGCACAGTTGAGCTGTCAAAAAAGTGTCAAACAGCTCTTACGAATTTCGAATTTTCTCCTCTCAAATTTTTGGGGAAAATGGTACTCCCTGTGAGGAAAAAATTCCCGGAGAACGAACTCCTGGGTGTATAATTTTTATTTGAATATATTCTTATGCCATATTTAAGGCTAAATACCTATGTATATGTATATTTTTTATGTACATATACTGGCGATCAAAACTGGTGATAGTGATTTTTTCAAATATATAATAACTTAATCCAAATTTTAGAAAAAATCAACAAATTTCCATCAAAATTTTGAACTTTTTAATCCGAATTCTTGGAAATGTAGTTACATGCCTCATGAAATTTTAGTAAAATGAGTGCTGGTTTTAAACAGCGGTTTTTTACATAAATGCAATTTATAAAAATCTGGCGTTGATTTTTTTAAATTTTTTTTGCAAACGGTCTTGCGCATTTTCTTAAAATTCATCTTTGTATGGAAAAAGTATCAGAAATCTAAACGATTTTGGCTGCGTAAAACTTGCTCTTATTTTTACTGAATTTTCATGAGCCATGTAACTGTATATCCAAGAATTCAGATTAAAAAGTCCAACAACTTTGTGGAAATTTGTTGCATCTTTCTAGAGTTTGTATTAAGTTTGAAAATTTGAATTAATTTTATGGTTTTGGCTAAAGCATGAAAAATATTTTTATAAAAAATAAAAAGAAATAAGTTGAACAACACAAACTGTTCCTGAATTAGTTAAAAGTTCACTAAAACGTACGACAAAAATTGAAAATGCTACTTTGTTCGTT